CGGATATTCTTTCGCAAAATGTTCACATGGATGTTAAAGTTCTTCGGGCAAAATTTTAAGATTTTAACTCCAATAGTTTCCTAGATAAAAGAATTTTTAATGTAATTTATATGGAAGGTACCACCCCTAAAATCTAGTCTGCCAATTTGTTACGCAAATGTTCACATGGATGTCAAAGTAGTTAGTGTAAAATTTTAGCTCTAATAGTTTCTCAGATCTACGAATTTTTATATTCAATCCGTATGGGAGGTACCAAGACCCCCTTTTGAAAGTCCGCCCATTTTTCACCTAAATATGCTTTTATTCCCATGTATACATATGGATGTCAAAGTTGTCCACACAAAATTCGAGGACCATAGCTCTTGCAGTTGCTGAGATATGCCACTTCTAAAACTAATTTTGCATTTGGGAGTGGCAAGTTGCCCACTTGATATTTCGAAGTAAAAAGTAGCCTATAGTTCCTTCCAGACATACAGGTAGACACTGTGAAAATTTCAGAAAAATCGGTCCAGGTCGGTTTAGCTGTCTATAGAGTCCAAACAAACAAACATACAAACACAGATTCATTTTTATATATAGATTGAACCAAAAACATAAAATTAAACAGTCCTACGTAAATGAAAATCCGAAGAAAAATTGAACACCATAGCGATTGAATAAAAATTTATAAAAGGGGTGTTTCTGGTAATTTTTAAGAGTAAATTTTTTGTACTTTTTCGTTTTTCAATTTGTACTTTTTATTTAATATGTATTTAGTTTTAATATTAATTTAATAAACCATAGAATTAAATTCGTAGCGCCCTGATTGAATGAAAATCTTTCTATAGAAAGTATTATATATGTAGAAACATTTTAAAAGTTTCGTGTTAGGGCACTGGCACACGTTCAATATATATTGATCAATATGAATCACGACCCATTTTAATAGTTTGATGAATACCTCAGTATGCTACACGTTCAATATTTATCGCGTCAGTATTTTCATTATTTCGTGCTACAGGGGTCGTACGATGATAACAAGAATGCCGCGAAAACTCCAAATTCATACAAATTTAGAAAAAATTTATTATCTTTTATATTTTTTATTAACATTTAAAAAAATATTTGACTTTGTTTTTTTTATTTTATTTATTTTTCCGAATTTTACAAATGTATCGTGATTGATATCACAAAACATGCTACACGTTCAATATTTATCACGTAATCCATTATAAATGTTGATACAAATTTTGGATTTCAGAAAATTGGGGTTTTCTGTGATATGGAACACGATCCGTCAATATTACATGCTACACGTTCAATACATATCACAATACAGCAAATATCACGATATATATTGAACGTGTGACACTGCCCTTAGGGCAGTTAAATGTTAATAAAAAATATAAAAGATAATAAATTTTTTCTAAATTTGTATGAATTTGGAGTTTTCGCGGCATTCTTGTTATCATCGTACGACCCGTGTAGCACGAAATAATGAAAATACTGACGCGATAAATATTGAACGTGTATCATATCGAGGTATTCATCAAACTATTAAAATGGGTCGTGATTCATATTGATCAATATATATTGAACGTGTGCCAGTGCCCTTAGCCGCCGCCAGCCGTAGATCGAATCTGCGTTTATGATTTGACAACTTCATGTATTACACTATGCGTCAAAAATAAATACCTGGGAAGTGATACTAAATATTTTTCTGAAAGGCGGGTCCGAGTAGAACGAGAATCATTTACTCAAATTTTGCCTTTTAATAATAAACCTTGCACTTTATTGTGAAGGAATCGTAATGTACACACAATAAGCATTTCAGAAAGATATAAAACACAAATATTGATTGAAAAATTTAAAAGTTATTGAAAATTTCCCGAGCATTGACGTGTCTCACAGAAATTAATTAGCTCTAGCTTTGAAATATTGCGATGTTTGAACAGACATAGTTTACACAACTTTTTGGAAGTTTTTACTTAATTTAACTGATCTTCAATAACATTTTTATTAGTTAAACTATACATAGTTTTTTATAGAAAGTATAGAAATATTTTTAAATTTTTTATAAAGCAAATTGTGCTGAAAAGCATTTAGCATAATTTAAAAAACTTCAATGCATTTCACGATGCAAAATGCTAAATCTAGCACTAATAGTGCTAAAATGGCAACACTGCTCTTACTTGTTTAATATATGTATGTACATATTGCTCATTTTCTTCAAAACTGGTATAATCCAAAAAAATCGTTTCGAAGAAAATGGCTTTAAATTTTTAATGACATTTTACTATGTACTTTTTAAATAACTTTTAAACAAATCAAAGGATTTAAAAAAATGCCAGATTGAGATAGTAGAGTTCAATATGTTTCGCATCTAAATTGAAATTAAATTTTTATTTATCTAATAGTCGAGAAAACATGAGTTTTAATATTTAACATTACAATAAAAAAATCGATCTCACACCGAAAATAATGGATATATTTAAAATTTGATAAATCTCTATGAAAGACTATAGTATGGCGCATAATTTGTTAAAAAACGGATTTTTGGATTATACAGAACATGATGTTCTGTATTTTATTTAGTGTTCTGCATTTGTTCAGTATTTCGTTATTTTTTCAGTTTTACATAAAAACGCATAAGAAATACAAAAATATTAAAAAATTCTGACACAAATTTAGGTAATACAGTTTTTTTCAACTTCACAGAAAAAATGAATTTAGTACCCCACAGAAAATGTACAGATTGCTACATCGATATTGTGTTGCTTATTTTGTATTCGTATCCCTGGCTTACTTTACACAGGGTATGGTCGCTTTAAAATGACACACTAACTGATATACTTGGTTAGCGATATTGTGTGTAGATTATACTTTTTTTATAATACACTTTTGTGTGGAAAAGTAGCTATTCCTACACACTTAAGGACCCTTCAGACGATCACACTTACGACAAGTCTAATGAAAAACTAAAATGAAAATCCATCCGTATGACAATAAAGAGAATAAAAGTCGTTTGATTTATATTTTTCGTGTTTACACGCTTAAAATTCATCTAAACATTGAAAAAATGTTGATCCAAAAATATTTTTTAATAAATGAAAAAAATTTTGTTGATTAAATTGATTTTTTATATTTTAATTTTCTGTTCTCATAAACAATGTTTACCACAAGTATAGTAATGCAAAAAAAATTTTATTAAAAAACATTGGTTACAATTCCGAGTACATACTCTGAAAATTTTCTGTGGGGTAATAAATTGTATGAATCGAACATGACTTTTTTTCCCAAACCATTTTCATTCAGAATATTAAAAGTTCATAAGATGTATAAACTTACACATGACGGTAATTTTTTGAATAATTCATAAAAGTCCATTAATTTCAAACATTTTTAACAAATAGTAAAATAAAAATAAATTTGAAAGTCAAGGCTTCTAGATTATGTTTAAAAAACTCATACCATGGTAAAAATATCAAGGTAGTGTCATTCTCTCTTTTTGTCGCCATATTAACCTTCTGACGTTTGCTGGTATTTTATAAAACCGAGCTACCATACTCATTCCAAAAATACTACATATTTTGTTTATTGAAAAATCAAATGTAAAATAATTTCTCACAGAATTTTTTGAAAATATAAAAAATAAAATCAAAGGAATTAAATGATATTAAAAAAAGAAAAAAAGCTAGCGCTAAAAATCTACGATGATTTACAATGCCAAGGCCACCAAAATGATTTAAAGCTACAAGAGACTAGTGCTTAATGTAATTACCAGTTTTATGGGCCAGCTATCAACATGCCAACACATTTATCGACCGAAGCCGCTAAGCCGCATCACTTAAATATATAATTTTGCCCGTAATCACAGTACACTGGCCTGCGGAGAACTGTTTCCAGTTGTATCAGAATTCTGAAGAATTTAAGTTTTAAGTCTAGTGAAATCTGTTGCACTTCAGGAGCCCCTTATAACCAATATGTATATAAGTATCTGTGTATGTAGTATGTAATACCTTCAAAAATTATTGGAATACATTTGGAGTACATGATCCGTTTAGTAGTTTTTTTTATAACGACATGGTCCACAGACATACGGACATGTCTGTCTTAGAATCTTGTAAGGACCCAAAAAATCGATTTGAATGAATTTCAAAGCACCAAGGTTAGTACTATCGGATGGTAGCCCAGACACAAATTTTCTGCTCTATCGGTCAAGAACTGTCCATTATGGGACTATAAGCCCTTAAAGGAAATTGTATAAGCTTTCATCTGCGCGCCAATAGTTGATAAGTTACACTCATTTGAATAAAACCCTGTATGACCAAAATGTCCAACTTTGACCCCCTATAAGACCGGCAGTTCTTGACCGATAGAGCTGAGAATGTGTGTCTGGCCTATTATTCAATAGTAACTTGGTGCAAATGTCATCCAAATCGGAAGACATCGATTTTAAAAGTTGGGTCACATGACACGAAATTGCTAATTTATACTTTTGTGAGTTTTAGATGAATCATTCCATGTGTTACAAACGGAATGAGAAAATTTTATACACTAATTTAATATCTATAAATTACACATAAAAAATACAAAAGCCTTAAAATTGTTTCCCCTTTAACGTATGTGGCAACGACTTTTTTATGTTTACAAAAAACAAATTTCAGAAAATACCAACAAACTTCAAAAAATTTTTTTGTGAGAGCGGAATGACACTACCTTCATATTTTTATCATGACTCATACCATTTAGGAACTTATTTTTAAATATAATTAACTTTTGTCAATGAAAGCAGTTAATAATATTTATGCTGAAACTTTGTTCTGTGAACAATCAATATAATAATGTTTAAAACTTTATTGACAATTCAAATTTTGACGGTTAAAAATAACCTGATTGTGGTGGTTAGTGTTATTTTCTTCTGTTCTGTATTTTGCTTAAATAAATATGGTCACCGTAATTATACCAGGATTGTAGTAAATGAACGATATGAATTTTTGTATTCCAAAATATCTTCTTACCGTTGATGGCTGTAAAGTGACATTTAATAGCGTTGGATGTTGTTCAACAACCACAAATTCAACTTCTCTCGGATTAAATCCTTCAGCAAAAATCTGTTAAAAAAATAATTCATTATTTTAGGACTTTTGGCAGTGGATTCATTTACATTATGATATGTACCTCTAATTTATAGTATCCAGGCAGCAAAATTCTCCAGAATTCTCCATGTTTGGTTGTCTGGAATCCTACATCTCTACCTTTTATTTTTAATGATGCTCTCTCCACAGGTGCATTATTTGGATCTAGCACAAAACCTTGTACTCCTCTATGTGCCTCGGCCAAAAACTTTATTAAGGACTACAGAAGAAAAAATTATTAAACTTTACCAAGTAAAGTGTTATAATCGGCGATGCCGAATATTATATACCCATCATCAAAGGACCGAGCTTTATAGAATTATAAAGAGTGGAAATTTTTTTAAAATAAATAATTTTATCGGTCTTCATAAAATTTGTTTGGGAAATTTCAGTTCTTATAAAAATATTTCGACTTTTCTTGTTTAGGTATATTTAATCGCTATTCTGTTATCATGAGATCAGTTATGAACGTTAAGATTATTTTCGGGGCCTATATGGAGGATAGGGTCAATTGTGAGCCGATCCTTATCAAATTCCATAGAGAGATTTTTGTTCTTATAAAACTTGTTTATGCCGAATTTTGTCACTACACTGAAGTCAGATATGGGCGTTCTGAGGGGGATCTTATATGGGGGTAGGGTTAATTAGGATCAAATTTGATGAGGAATGAAATTTGTTGTTGGTTCTTATTTATGTTTAATTTCATCGCTGTACTTGTATTTAAAGCCGGTTATTATATCAAGGGGACCTTATATAGGACAATAACCAAATCGGTCCGATGTCCGTCACACTTTACAATATAATTTCTCGTTTATTTCTTAAACCGTTATTATTGACTTACATATTTATGGCTCTGAAAACTATATTCGGGGGGACCATATTTTATGATGGCGGGTGAAAAAAATAATTATATTATTTCAAAATATTTTTTTTTACTTTACCAATTGATTATCTTCCCAATATTTCTTCAATTCGTATGACGGAGGATATTTACAGCATGATATTTCTAATGTAACTTCCATACATCCATACCAAACGTATTGATAATCTTGCATACCCCCTGTTAAAGGATACCATGCAGCTCCATTTGTAATGCCATTTTCAAAGGCTGGTGTTGCGGACTTACAAGCCACTCCTCTAGACATCTTGGCGTGATTTTTAGCATACACCAATGAAAGATGTTTAAACACATCATCGTCAGGTGTTAGGGAAGGGGCTGCGGAGTATGTTTGAAACACTGCACCCAAAGGACATGTAAATGTAAAATAATGAAAATGTTTTAAAAACTTATTTCCAATATAGCCCAAATTAGTCGAAGAATTAGAAAAATGGGTAATTTAAGGTAGATAAATGAAAGTTGGTACAGGGCTTCGTCTTAGGATCTTAATTAAGGGCTAAAAGTCACCATTAATCAAATGTATGTTTAGCGAGATATTGAGGGTCAAATGTTACAAAAATGATTTTTTTTACAAATATCTCGCTTATTGTGATTACTACAATTTCAGATATTACTACATTTCTGTAAACTATTAAATTTCCTACGTTTTGCATTTTTCCTACATTTTTGGCATACATTAGTTGTTTTCGAGCATTAGTGCATTATTTTTACATTGCACTGATATTTTCAAATCTTAATATAAATTACTAGTATAACAACTTTGTCATAATTTTGTTTTTGTTCCTACATGAAATTCTTAAAAAGGCTGTTCCTCGGGACACTCTAATGTACATTAGGGTGGCCCCAAAATGGAAGTTGCCGATGTTCCCACCGAAAATGAAAATTTAGCTATGAAAGTTTTTTGAGAGACGATTTCAATGATATAGTACTAATTTGTATACAACTCCAATATTATTACAAATGTCGTATTTTTCGGAAAATTTTTAAGTTTTTCAAATTTTTACATAGAATTATATAATGCAATTAATTCAAAATAATACATTATAAACCTCATACAATTTCACCGAAATGGTTTTTTGTTTTTCGAAATTCGTTATATGTATTTTGTATTTTATTTTAATATTTGAAACTCTATTTTGTCTCAGGTTTTTGCTAGCTATATTCATCCAACATACTTAATATGTATGTTCATAAGCATACGCGTAATTTCATTAGTATATATAACACTTTATGGGTTCATTCTATTATCAATAAAATTTTTCAGTTTAACTAAAATATTAACACAATTTATCCCAAACCTACTTATTTGTTATGCTTGCTTTGTAAATAACGGTTTCTATGTTATGTTTACATTATTCCGAAATGTTTTGGTAGCGTACATATTGAATTTTGAAAAACGAAAAAAATCTTTTCGGTACATTTTATTGATTATGGATTATTGTGTATTAATTTCAACGAATTATATTAAATTCATCTATGTTAAAATGTAAAAAATCTGAAAATTTTACGAAAAATTAGAAAATTTCGATTACTTTTACTGTTACACATTGAAAGCGTCTCTCAAAGACCTTTCTTATGATACCAAAATTGTATATCTTTCCTTTGGAAGAAATATGAAAAAACATAAAACCCTCAACCCTCGTTTTTATCCTTTGATCCAGCTCGCCAAATATTGACCCCAGGACAAAAATTTTAGAAACGCTATCTTATAATCCTCCTCCATACAAACGGGGCCACCCTAATGTACATATTTATACTCTTTGACAGCAAATATGTACATTGATGATATAGCTATCGCTTTATGTACTCTAATACTCGAAACCACGATTTCGGGAATGATTATAATTATAAAATCTAAGGGACATCTTTAAATAGTAGAATTTAATTTCTGAAAGTTGGATAAAGCTATGATACACGGTTGTCAGATCTTACAATGTTGGCAGAAAAAAAGTTTCCTTGTGTGAACCGGCAATATGAGTAGGCATTAAGGAAAATTTAAAAGAGAATTAAGAAAAAGTTTCCTAGTGTGGACCGCCACATAGGGGTTAGTGGCGGTCTACACAGGGAAACTTTTTTTGGGAAACTTTTGAATTTGTAATATCCCTTTACTTAAAAAAAGACAATATGTATTTTTAAATTCATGAAAGCTTTTATTTTGTTTATTAGTGTCCAAAACATACTGGTGTTAAATTGAAGTCAAATCGGATAACGATAACCCGTGCTGGAAATCGATTAAAAAGTGTAATGTAATAATTTTTCTAATGTTTTACATAACATTCAAACAATGAACATGTGTGAATTACAACAAGGAAGTTTAGTCAGGCATGGCCGAACATATGATACTATACGGCAATTACGATATGCAAATGTATTGAAAATATGATTTACTTATGTTGAATTTTGCTTTAATTTCGTTATATTTCAACAAATTTGGTTGAATGGGTGTGTATTCGTATAAATTTATTTATTGTGAATTTTATCGTGTGGTAATGTTTTTATGTAAATTTTGGACGTTAATGCCATTTTCTGTAGGATATTTTGTATGGGGGCTAGAGTAAGAGAAATTGAAATTGTAGAAATTGATTTGGAACGTATGCCGGAGCAAAAGATTTTCTTATTTTATCAAGGAAGGAGGACAACAAAGACATTTAATCACTATTGACCTAGATTGTAACAGCTGATGATCAGCTGTGCAGACGAGACTACCTTATTAATTGTATTATGATGATACTTAATACAGTAAAACTTCGACAATCCGGACACATATAGTTTTAGGCACATTCGGATTATCGAGTTGTCCGGATAAGTATATTAAATACATACATACATACTCTGATTTATTAAAAAACGTTTAACTATTATATTGACATAAAAGAAATTTGCCTATGCTTTTAAAATTTCTGATGAAATCGGGATATAATTGTTTCTTCGCTGCAAAAACTTTTCTATATTATATTTTAAAAAATGTTTATTACATTTGTTCAATTCACAATCGATGTTGTAGCGTTGTATGTCAGCAGCTGCTACAATAGTCATAACAATTGTTCAATTCACAATCGATGTTGTAGCGCTGTATGCGTTGTATGTCAGCAGCTGCTACAATAGTCATAACAATGTTGTTGGTATTTTCTATGCAAAAGCTCTATACAACTCCTACGACAATTTTTCATATGTTTTTCGAATGTTGTAATAAAGTTTAGTGTTGCCAGTTGTTTATTTCAACATATAAACAAAAAATTCAAACGATTTTAGCACAAAAAACAATAAAGTGGTAACACTGAAATCAAAAACAAACAGCTGTTTACCAAAACAAAAAAACTAAAATTTTATTAAAAAGAGTTTATTTATTAATTTAAAATGTGGAATAAAGAAAATAAAATAATTGAAAATTCAAAGAAATTAATTTGGTTTATTTCGCATGTTTAATTAATTTAATATTTTTTGATTTTTTTATCTTTTGACATTGTTATCTATATTTGTTTTGATTGTTTTTTTTTTTTCATTGAGAACACAAACTTATGACTTGCTGCAAAGATCTGTTCACAATCACTGTTACTACACTTTAGTAGGTACAATATACAACTTGATTGTGAATTGAACAATTATTTTGGTTCAAATGTTACCGAGTCCATCATAGGTATTCGAAATAAATTGTTTTATCATCTTATTTTTTTGAAACTATAGATTTAGAAAAACTGCGAACAAGAAGAGTTGAATAATATTTTGCGTTATTTTGATTTTATTCTGTTGCTATCAGAAGATGTAAAAAATGTCCTTCAAAAATGTTTGGAAAAAATAATATTGAAAACCTAAATATGTACATATGTAGATATTAAAGGATAAAAATTTTAAAAGTCATTTTTGACATCTTTTTATCTTGACAGTATAAAACAAAGAATATAAAGAAATTGGGGCTTGTCAGTTGGTACGTAAAGGAGTTGTCATTCGGTACCTAACTCTAAGTATGTATTGGTAGAATTTTTGTATTAGTATTGGAGCTCCAACCACTTTCACCACACTTTCCAAACATACATACTTGCATAAAATCGTACATAAAAATTTTAGGAAAAATAAATAACATTTAAATTTCTAGATTCGCAGATTTTTTAATTTATTTTGTCCACATCTAATAAGTAAACATTTAATAAATATATTTTTCGGACTTAAAATCTCTTTTTTTGCAAAAAAATAAGTTTATTTTAAATAATTTTTTCATTTTCAATACCAAAATATTCAACTTTGTTTTGTCAATTTTAATTTCAACACACAAAAATTAATTGTCAAAAAAATTAAAAAAATATTTTTTTAGTTTGTGAAAAACAAAAATATTTCGGATTGTTAAATGCGATAAAATTGTGTAAAAAATTAAAAAATAGTTATGTGTTTGTGAAAAAACGTCGTTCAAGTCCTATTATCCCGGTATTTTCGCGAAAAAGTTTTGAAGTATTGTGAGAGAATTGAGTTCTCACAAGTGTGTTGAATTTACACAGAACTCGTCTGTGAAGAGAAGGAAATGTTATTGTTGTAAAACAATGTCATAGTCCAACTTCTTATTATTCTTTGGTATAAAATAAAAATAATACAAAATATTTCCCAAATCTACTTGTTTTTGGGATGGTTAATATTTTTTTGTGATGACTGATATGTCTTTCTCTAAAACACAAAATCAAAAGTTTTCCAAAAAACGTTTTCCTGTGTAGACCGGCACTAAGTTAGTTAAGAAATTTAAAATCTATCGAGGTTCAACTAAGTTACAGATTTAAAGCACTTTTAAAGGTACGAAAAGATGTGTTTTACTCATATAGAGGTGTTTGGCAAATTTCAAAAACAGATTCTTAATGTAAAAAAATATTATCACTTCCCAGGTACATACATATATATATATATATATATTTTTTATATTTTCATATATAAAAATATTAATATTTGAAAATATCATTGCAATGTAGTAAAGTTTATTCTCTATAGAAATTATAATAAGTGAGATATTCCTAAAAAAATTAGATTATACTTTATTAATAATGGTAAGGGGAAGCTGTGCCAATTTTCATTCAGCTATCTTAAAGTCAACAGCATACATACATACATACATACAGTGTCTCTCATAATTATTCGAATTTGGGTAAACTATAAAAAGAAACCAAATTTAATAATATATTTTGTGTGCAAAATAAATAAATTAATTTGTTATATTGTCTAGATAGTCCTTATGTTTGATATCACGCTTTTTAAAACTTGAAAAATTTGCATTGATTTAAATTAATTGTGCTTTTTTAAAAAAAAGTCCATGAAATTGCCTCATAAAAGTATACGAATTTTTCCTGTATTTCATATTTGAT